CCATGCACACTTCACTAGAAGTGCCTGTCTTGTCTAGTTTTAAAGTTATTAACCCATTCATGTATTGTCCCATTGCACATTATACGGATACGTTCGAACATTCAAAAATTAATTAAAAATCGTACGTAAAGCAATCTGGGAAACAAAGGGGTGTGCAACAGTCGCCATGAGCCCAAAATGCTAACCGACCATGTCATTACAGCTGACAGGACCTATTTTATTAGCTATTAACGCGATTTTGCACAAATCACGAAATGGTTTGAAGCGCAAAAATAATCGGTGTGCATCTTAGCCTGCGTACTGGACAACACGATTCTGTGATTAATAACGCCCCACCTTACTTCCGTGAAAAGTTATTGAAGCTAGAAAACTGAATATCGAATATGAGGCTAACTTAACCGCGGTCGTTCACCGCGGATAAGCGATAAACAAACGTAAACGAATAAGGTCACAGAAATCCAGCCAAGGTGCAGCAGCAAAACCGCTCAATGTAGTGCTCTAGCAACGTTCAAATTGAAGGAATAACACTTTATAAAAGCTTGGAGCAATGAAACTGAAACTAACCAATTCAATGGTGTGTGTTTTTAAAGAAGTACAAACGCCACTACTATCGCTGAGATACACGCAGTGTGGAAAGCAATAAAAGTATATACTGTACTGCCTTAAGTCCAGCGATCCCTGGGATTTGATCGAAATTGGCTCGATATGCCCCGAGCAGCGGGTTTTAATAGGCGTAAATTTATTTCCTACGTTCCAGGAAATTCAAAACACTCGTGACCGGAAATTCAGCCCCCCCCATGGACAATATTCACAATACAAAGGTACTATCATGTACGGAGCCCCTAAAGTCCCATAAAGTGATTACTTTATCTTGTGCGGACAAGTTATTATCTTATTATCTATTAATTAAATTAGTTAATTATCTTAATTATTGTTGCACATAATGTATTTTGTGCACGAAAATGAGCGCTTGACACTTGGCGCCCCATACAATTAGAGCATCTCGTGTCTCATTTCATAAAGATTATCTTATTTGATTGTACAAACTGCAACTAGTTTGGTTAACAGTATAGCACAGAAAGCAACGCTGATAACGCAGCGGTAAATAGCGTTTGTGTCAGTCACAATTCTCATCCCATGCACTGTATGTGCAGTCGGAGCATAAGAACGAGTAAGAATCCCGCCAAAAAACGGTACCTGACCTGGCATTGAATTGGGTAAAACGTAAAGTAAGTTACTTAATAGTTACCAAAAACTCAGAATCATTCAGGTCATGAACAGTGCTGCCAGAACGTCCCAATTATTACCAAGAAGGGATTCAGTAAATCTCCTATATTTCTTCTATGGCTCTGTAGAAGAAGATCTTCTACTCGTATTTTATATGTGTTGTTTCTTTCCGGAAATTTAGGATGTGTTTATGACAGAGACAGGGTGCAGGAGAGTGACAGGGGCATCGTAGTGGACCCTGAGGTGAGGTAGGTCATTTTTCCACAATGAACGGCTTGACATTCATGGCGGAATCTCGGAAATGTATAATTTTAATAATTCCTGCACATTATGTGGGGCTTAGCGCACCTAGTGTGCCATATTAGTGAAGATGAATAACAGTAACATGGAAAGATAAAATTCACTTTCTTTATATATTATAACAGCAATAGTTTATGAAAAGAAACGAACTGTATACAGCGTGACTACAGAATTGCCTTATAAGCAGGGGCGGATTAACGCACAGGCTAGATATGGCTTAAGCCTAGGGGCCCCACGTGTGCCAGCCTGCAAGGGGGCCCCCATTGGCGCGGAGGGGGGCGGGGTTGAGGGGCCCACAGACTACTGTAGCCTAGGGGCCTCTGTGCACCTTAATCCGCCCCTGCTTATAAGGCGATGTGACGTCACACCCCTGACCCCGATATACCCGTCCCCCACATTGTTAATATGAAACCTACACTCCTGGTTTCAAGTAATGAAAAAAATTCCAAATAGGGAAAATTAAGCAACTGTGTTAAGGAATTAGGCAGTTAAGCATTCATTCATGACCTCTGACCCCTGCCTGCAGGTGTGCATAGCTTTAGCAGAGTCCCTGATTGGCAGAGACATCTGTGCCATGGTATCAGGTCAAGTCTCATTGGACATCATGGCGCATCTGCCTGAACTCGGGGACACCTCTTATGCCCAGTACACACAGGTGGCAGCTAACACCAACAGCTACCGCCACTCTCAAGCTAGTAGATTTTAATTAAGCATCAACTGGCAATACATTTCCTAGGACTACAGCAAAGTCTTACCCAACTCTGTTCAATAACTTGCAGTGAACATTCAATACAATAGATAAATGGTGCCCAAGTTCAATAACACAATACAGTGATGGCTAGATCAAGATGCCAAGTTGCAGGCTTTTCTGCAGAGATGTAGGGAAAGGAACATGCAATTAAAGAATTAGAGATTAGATTGCCAGATTGGCCTATGGGCATACAGTCCCTTATATTAGACATATTGTTACCTCAGTTGGTTGCAAAGTTGATTCAGAGAAAAATTGTGCTATCTGACAAATGCCCTGACCAAAAGATGTGAAGGGATTTGAAAGGTTTTTAGGAATAGTGAACTACCTTTCAAAAGTCTGTGAGCACCTGGCAGATGACTGAAATCTCATGGTAGCTCATCCTTAAGGACTCAGGCTTTGCTGTGTAGATTCAGTTCTGTAGTGGTTTTTTCTACCCGTTACACAAACCTTGCATGCTTGAGTTATGTTATGATTTTTTTTAATCCTGTGAGCGGCAAATATTCTAGGTCTCATTGCACTGATTATGATGTATTTACACTGTAATCAGTTTTATTTGTTAATCACCCTTGTTAATTTTGCATTATTGGTATATTATTGGATATTTATCAATCACAAGTGGTTATGTTTCTGTTGATATTCCTGTGCCCATCCCTTTCCCCATCCATCCATCCATCCACCCACCCCACTAACCAATCTATACTACAGCAAATTTATGCCTGTTGATCCACCTCCCAGGAATACTTTTAAAATGTTGGTATCTCAAGCTAGCAGTTGGTATTTTGTAAGTAAAATATTTTTTTAAATGTAGAGTCAATGGGTGGATTACTGGAAACACTACAGTTGACTGACTGACACTCTTCACAGGGCTTGTAAAAGAATAATTTCCCATGAACTCAACTGTGTGGGTTTCCTCTGGATATGCTGAGTTCACCCCACAGTCCTTGTCACAAGCCAAGCATGCCCCCTGCTTCGAGAAAAAAATTATTAATTTTATTAATTACTGACAATTGGTAAGGATACATAATTTATTTTGCTTTTTATGTACAATTACAAGTTCCACAAGGTAAGTATCAGATTATACATTTAAGGCACAATTAAATGTCAGTCCGTGTGAGAAATTGGATCAAGACATTAAGCCACAAAGAAGAAGCCCAAGAAAGTTGAATTGCAAAAAATGAAAGCTAATTGGTTCACTATTAGAAAAACACTTTAATTACTGATGAAAATAAAAAATCAAGTGTAGATTCTTTCTATATTGATAGAATCAATCAATATATAGAATGAAGACTAATATTTTTGGCAAAAAGCGAAGAGGAAATGGATCTCATGGAGAGGAAAATCGGCCAAAGAAGAGGATTGTCTTGGACGTGTTGTGTCTGATGAGGAAGAGGAAGGGGTGATCGGCCATGAATTTTTTCCCTATGATCAAACAACACAGCTGTATGGAGATTCCTGTGGCAGCTGCTGCCTCAGTTCCCTCCTCGTTCACGTCTATGAAGGACTTGTGAACAGCAGCGGAGACGAAGAGGCCGCCCTCCCTGTTTATGGCAGTCAGATCTGCCAGTTTCTCATCAAACACATCCGTCATGCCCAGATGAGCCAGGGCTTTCTTCAGGTCATAACTGTCTTCCAGCTTGAATTTTGGGAGGTATAAGTCAATGTAACCACCGCTGTCCATATTCTTCCGGTCTGTCCATTCATTTATCTTCTCCAGGGTCAGCTCTTTCTCCAGCTTTAACATGCAGACAGTCAACAAAAGACAAAACTTGCTTTTACATGAGCAGGAAGTTTTGGAGACCTCTGAGATGTTCAGAGAGTTAACCATGCTGCCTGACTAGTGTTTTATGATTCACGGATAGGAGAAAGGAACATGAAGATAAATCACTAGATAGTTTAATGTAAAAATGAAGAGAATTTGGAGCAAATATCCATTTCTCAGGTTAAGAAGATGTTACTGGGTGGACTGTGACTACAACGTTGATGTCACTATGTATGGAGAAGCTGGGCTCACCTTCTGCAGGGGGTTGGAGCCATTCTGGGGCTCCTCAGGGAGCAGGATGAACATGCTCAGCTCATCACCCATATAGGGCATCTCCACTATCTGCAGGCCAAACTCCTCAATATGCTTAAATGGCAATACTTTTTGCAAATACATCATCTGAACAGGCTTGGTCTCCCTCTAGTGAAGACAAAAGGAAATGCACCAGGTTTGATTTAAATGATGTCACATAATACAACAGTTTCATGACGCCCACACTGTATCTAAAGACTCCAGTTAGCATACATAGTTGATAGTGACAGGTGTTATAGTGCAAGGTAACTGTATGACTGTGTCAGCCTCACTCTCAGTCGT